GACCTCGATGGCGTGAACCTCTGCTTGGAAGACAGTGGGCCATATACCCAGTGCGAGCGAGATTCTGGTGTTAGGACCAAATATTCCGGCACCAACTCCTTCTTTGGTTTTTGAGCCATCAGTATACCAAGAAATCACTTTTGGTTCAAATCCAGGAGTGCCATTTACCCAGTCCAATCGATCGGGTATGAGGACTTCGAACTTCCTACCGAAGCGAAGTTCCATGTTCATGCAATCTGTCCTATCGCAGATCTCTATGCCAGGAACTAGTCTGCAGATAGAGTTTTGACTGACGAGACTTTCGTGCATGTCGATGACAGGGTGTAGCCTAGCTGCACTCATAGCTGCTGTCTTTTTAATAAAGAGATGCAGAGGGGTGAGACCCACTATGGACTCCAGTGCTGATGTGGGACATGTTCTAATAGATCCCGTCATAGCGATACATACGAGTCTTTGCAGTTTATTGCATTTGACTATTGCAACATTTTGTTGCGCCTTATTCCACCAAACAAGAGCTGCGTAGGATACAATGGGTCTGACCATTGTGCGGTATAACCATGATATAATTCTAGGACTTATGCCCCAGGTTCTACCATATGAGGTCCTACATGTCCACATGACCCAGGTGGCTTTGCCAATTATATTATTCAGGTGAGTGTTCCAGTTAAGACGCTTATCTAGGGTGACCCCTAAATATTTGACTTCATCGGAGCATTCAATAGCCGTATCCTTAATAGATAGGGACCCAATATTTACTTTGTACCTTCTAGAAAATGGTACAATTACCGCTTTTTTTGGGTTAATACTTAGGCCTTCTTTGGTACACCAGTTCGAGACTTTGTGTAATGCCGCCTGCATTACGTCTGTAACTGTGGTGTCAAATTTACCTGTTACAATGATTGCCAGGTCATCTGCATAACCTATGGCATGATACCCAGATTGCTCCAGTTTAACTAGTAAGTCATCGACTACCAGCGTCCATAACAATGGTGAGAGAACCCCACCCTGGGGGCAGCCCCGTACAGCATTAATGCTTACGATAGTGCTACCTAACTTGGAGGATATGTTCCTATCACGCAACATTCTATCTATCCACGTTATTGTACATGAGTCTATATCTTTACGGGCCAGTGCTCCAGATATGGATTCGTAAGATGTGTTATCGAAAGCTCCCTCTACATCCAGAAATGCACATAAGGCGATCTCTTTAGATTGAAACGTGCTTTCAATTTTGCTGACTAAATGATACAGCGCGACCTCTGTAGATTTGCCTTTTAAGTAGGCATATTGGGTGGAGTGGAGTGGGACAGTTTGTTCCAATTTATTCCGTATGTACAGATCAATCAGCCTTTCGACGGTTTTCAATAAAAAAGACGTAAGACTAATGGGTCTGTAGGACTTGGGTTGGTCCATAGGTTTGTTCCCAAGTTTGGGAATAAAGATCACGTTCACTCCTCTCCAGGAATGAGGGATATAACCCATAGTAAAACAAGCCCTACAGAGTTTTATTAATGGGTCTATGATGATGTCTATGCAATTCTGCAATAGAGCAGGGTAGATACCATCGCCTCCAGGCGCCTTAAATGGTTGAAATGAGTTGATCGCCCATTGCACCTTGTCCCTGTCAAAGATAACATCAGATAGTGCGTATTCCTGACATTTAGGAGCAGTAACTTCCCTATATGAATGTGATGTTGGTGGTCCGGTTACGGAGCCAGGGAAGTGTGTTTGCAAGAGAAACTCGAGGGTATCTTCACGACCAGTAGTGAAGGATCCGTCCGGTTTTTTTAAAAGGCCTACTTCATTTGTTTTGACCTTATTTAAAGCCTTGTGTAGTCTAGCAGCCTCAGGCAACCTATCAATACTATCACAATGGCTATGCCAGCTGGCCCGTTTGGACTGTCTGATTGAATTGTTGTAGTCGGTGAGTGCTGTTCTATAATGTTCCCAACTACCAGAGCGTTTTGCTCTATTGAATAAGCTTCTTACTAGTTTACGCTTATTAGCTAGTTGCGAGTTCCACCAAGGAACCTTACCTCCAATTGAAGCATTACCTGCAACCGTGCTGTTGTGAAAGGAGGTCAGTAAAACCTCACCTAAATGGTTTGCAGCCAACTCTATCTCTTCACGAGGTCTTAGTGGCCTAGCTAGAGAAAAATTTTCGGAACCCACCAAGTCCCTGTACCTAAGCCAATTGGTTTTCTTTGGTCGGTACACTTTATCTTGCTGCTCGGATATACCGGGAATTTCAAACCTAATATGTTGATGGTCTGAGAGGGACACTTCGTCCGACACTCGCCAGTTCCATATAGATTCCTCAATACCTCTGGTGCAAAGAGTGAGATCTAATACCTCTTCTCTAATTGCATTAATAAAAGTGGGTTTACTACCTTTGTTAGCTATAGTTAATCCTATCGACATAATATAATCTAATAGGTACTCACCCCTTTTGTTATCGTTGCTGCTCCCCCACACTGTGTGGTGAGCATTAGCGTCACAGCCCAAGATTAGCTGCCGCCCAGTGGATTTGCAGAAGTTGATCAGCTGCTGGACTTCCGATGGTGGAATGGTTTCTTCATCACCTGGGAAGTAGGCAGAGGCCATGACTATATTTGTGGCCCCTCCTAGTGTTGGGACTTCGACTAGAACCGCTGCTAGGTCTCTAGAAATAAAGTTGGTTAACGGAAGATATTTTACATCTTCACCGATTAGGATAGCTGCACGTGGCACTGCTATCGAACGGTCATAAACCAGCTTACCTGATTTTGTGTTGAGACTCCGAATGTGGCCACCAAACACCCACGGCTCTTGGATAAGTCCTAGAGCGATGTTGTCGGTTTGGGCAATTCTGCACAAGGTGGCCGATGCTCCCTTAGCATGGTGTAGATTTGCCTGGAGCACTTCAAGGCGCTCATTATATCTCGTTAAGAGACTTACGCACGAGACTTTCACGTTTGTTTTGTCGAGAACCTTTGTTCCTATCACCCTTTGATTGCTTCGGTAAAATTTTACCAATTAAGGGTGTTTTATTGGTAGCGGTCCGTGGTTTACCTACTACAGTTGCCGTGCCCGTGGAGGGCATTGTGGACGTAGTTACCGAGGTGGGAATCTGAACTACACGCCCACTAGAAGAGCTCACAGCCTTGCTTGTGGAGGGACGTGTGTCTAGTTCCTCTTCCTCAGGAACAGACACTGTTGGGCAAACATCCGTAAGGGATGCTGCCGAAGCCGAGATTGATTGGATAGTACTATCATCCTGAACCACCTTTGGAGTATTATCTATGGGGTGAGAATGAGCGGGGGTGGTTCCCTTTAGCATCAATCTCAGGTGTCCGAACCGGTATGCAATCCTACCTTTAAGTTCGGATAACTTCCTCATAGATTCGTCATCAATGACGAAGACTAGGTGAAGCATCTGATCCTGCGTCAGCCTACGTATCATCTTCCACCGCTTGGTGGAGAATTTGTTCTGGGTACCAATGGTAACCAGAACTTTTTCGTTTGACAGTGTCAAACTCTGAGGAAAATAGCCACGAACGACGTGAGTTCGTGGGAAACCCTTTTCCTCTATTACGTTTATAGCGAGTCCGCATTTGGCCCCTATGTGGCCTGAAAATTGCTTGACCCACTTCGCAGTTTTTGCATTACTGCAGACGATAAGCAGCCACCCCGTTCTAGGTAAACACCCTTCGAACTCCGGCTGTATTTCGTCGTTGTGTTGCTCAATAGCAACATCAATAATGGCTTCTTGGAGAAGCGTAATTTGCTCTGTAGAGAGCGAAGTGCCAGCCGGATCGGCCAACGTGAAGCCTAAGCGTACGCCTTTAACAGCTAGGCTGTACGATGGCTTGGTGAGCCACACGTGAGCCACCTTGTGTTTTTTGGCGGGAAACAAACCGGGGGATTGCTCCTCCGATCTGACCCACTTGTTCGCATGCGGATGTTGCATAGCAATTTTAAGAGCCTCTGCCCTGCTATGGCCTGAAGACATGGCCGCCTTAAACCTTCTTCGCTCACTTCTTTTAAGGTGAGTAAATTGTGGGGATTCCAAAGTGAGGTTGCCAACTTTGGAGCCAACGACAGTTAAACCGGATTTTTGTGATACCACACTGCTGGTGCCGGAATCACCAGATTCAACGGCTTCGGAATTTGAAGACAAGACCTCAATAATTTCCTGCCGCCTTACCTGAGATCGCGACGAAGTTACTGCAGGTGCGTACACCGTTTCCGCAAGCGGAGAAGTAGACGGTGGCCCGTCCGGGTCCATTTTGACGCACACAGTAGCGCTGTCGAAATGGGTGGAAGCTTCCAGCCCAGTGACCGGCACACACTCAGCTACAGATAATTCCGTAAAGGAATCATTTGAAGATGATGCCGTTAGAGTGACATCAAGCTCATTTGTATTATTTAATTTATCCATACAAAAATTATTTATATTCGGGATTGGAAGGTCACACACGACATAGCCCGTTTATCGTGAGAAGTCTAAATTAAAACTGGAAGTCGACAGGTATCCAGAGTTCGCATATTAAAGACCAACTATCCATGGCCATTCATGGATTT